AAAGTGCAATTATGTGTGTGTGTGTGTGTGTGTGTGTGTGTGTGTGTGTATGAAAAGAAATCCAAAAAGAAGGCATATGCTGGGCATGAAGGAATGGGTTCTAAGACTCAGAAAGTGAGGGCAGGGGAGAGATAAGTGTTGGGGGTGCAGTAGTGTGCTAATGCAGCACCCAAGCAGAAGACTGGAGGAAAACAGAGCCCTTCTCCAACTCCAACAGTCCCTCTGAGTCCCAGGCCACCTACTCCTGTGTCTGCCAACCTACTGACATGTCTCCCAGCCCTGCTGGAATGCTGTTCCTCCTGATCTCTGCCCTGCCCCAGATCTTTCACTAACCCCACCACCCCAACTGCTCAGGGCCCACCACCCCACTGCGCCTGATCATAGCCTGCCCCATCCCAGATGCCTCTGCTTCCAGCCTCTTGCCCTAGGTGACACAAAGAAGACCTGGACATGCAGGTGAAGAGGATGCGCTTCTGGGTCCTCCTGTTCAGGTATCCCAGTCATGCAGTCATGAGTGTGAGTAAATGTTGGTTATGACACAGATTCTATTTCTCAAGATGTTCCACACTGTGGTTTCCCTAACAGTGTTTTCATGGAGTCATGGATGGGAATTTGGTCCTTCCTGCAGACAGCAGTGCAGATTTCTTGAGCAGCCTACAGGGGCTCTGGCCCCATCTGTCCACATCAAGTTCTAAGTCCTGCATCCCCTTCTTGGCCCAAACACAACAAGGTTGACAGGAAGGAAAGCTGAAAATGGTGACTTTATAATATCGAAAAGGAAGGATTTCATGGCCCAATGAAACAGAATGGAGAACCCAGAAATAAATCCATGCATTTACAGCCAACTCGTTTTTGACCAAGGCACCAAGAACATACCTTGGGGAACAGAGGGTCTCTTCAATAAATAGTACTGACAAAATGAGATATGTGAAGAATAAAACTAGACTCCTATGCCTCATCATACATAAAAATCCAATCAAAATGAAATTAAAACTTACATGTAAGAAACTATGAAACTACTAGATGGAAACATTGGGGAAATGCTTTAGAACATTGGTCTAGGCAAAGATTTATTAAGACCTCAAAAGCACGGGTAACCAATGCAAAAACTGATCAATAGGATTACATCAAGCTAAAAAGTTTCTGCACATCAAAAAAAAATTAAAAATTAAGTGAAGAAACAACCCACAGAATGGGAGAAAAATTTTGCAAACTATTTATCCAACAAAGGATCACTAACAAGAATATATAAGAACTCAAAAACAGAAGTTCCAAATAATCTAATTAAAAAATGGGCAAAAGATCTCAATAAACATTTCCCAACAGAAGACATACAAGTGGCCAACAGGTATATGCAAACAGGTTTGACATCACTAATCATCAGAGAAATGCAAATCAAAACCACAACAAAATATCGTCTAACCTCAATTAAAACGGCAGTTATCAAAAAGTCAGAAAATAACAAATGCTGAAAGGACTCAGAGAATCAGGAGTGCTCAAACACTCTTGGTGGGAATGTAAAATAGTTTATCCACTATGGAAAACTGCATGGAGGTTCCTCAAAAAACTGAAAATAGAACTACCATATGATTCAGCAATATTGCTGGGTATATGCCCAAAAGAAAGAAAATCAGTATATCAAAGAGACAGCTGCACTCCATGTTTATTGCGGCACTATTCACAACAGCCAAAATATAAAATCAACCTGAGTATCTATCAATGGATGAATGGATAAAGTGTGGTACATATACACAAAAAGAAAGGATTTATTAATATACTAAGAGCCATTGAATTATATACCTGAAACGGGAGTTATATGCTATGTGAATTATATTTCAATAAAGCTGCTTATAAAACCATAAGGAATCGTATTTAATAAGCATCATGGGCATTCTTGGAAGCCCTCTGCAAGATCATGTTTTAAGTTCTGCAAGTTTGGGGTCCAACCCATGTGAACCTTGTTTCCCTATAAGTACATTATTTATATTTCTGAAAGCTTGACAGCCTCAAGAACACTAGTACTTAATAGTTGGTCTTAGCACTAGTCTGTGTAGCCAACTACCATCTGTACCTGAATAACTTATGGAAAAAAAAGTGAAATGTCCTTTGCACTCTGTCATTTTGGGTTTGTTGATTTTTAGCAACATCTGAGTGATCCTTTTTCTTCTGCTCTTAGAGGCTGCCCCTAGGGATTCCCTGTTCAACCAGTTTGATGGGAGCCTTAAGAAACCCATTGGATACCAAACTAAATGGCTATATCCTGCTGGAAAGTTTGTAATGAGGCAATCACATATGACCAGGAGGTGAATTATTACTGTCATTTCTTTTGCAAAATGTGTCACTTGTCAACCCTTGATTTACCCAAGGCAGGGAGAGAGAAAGAGGGAGATTGATCAGAGACTTCCCATTAAGATAAGTATTAATAGATTTCTTTTGATCAGCATGCCCCAGATTACTGTGGAGGGATCTGGAAAGGTCCAGTGTTCAGGAGCGATCCTATCATTTAAGCAGTGTTATGCCAATTGAATACTTCCAATAAAAAGAATCTATTTCTTTTGAGTCTTTTAAAAGAGAAAACATCTTGACAAGCTTTATTCTTAGAATTTTGGGGGTTTTGTTGTTTGTTGTTGCTGTTTTTGCTTTATCTAGGCTGCATTTTTCATAGGTCAGCTAACCTCTCTTTTCCTACCATCTTTGAGCATTTGGATAAATTAACCTGTCTTTCATTTCCCACCTCCACCCTTGCTCATGGCCACATTTGCCTCTCAAAATTCCCCTGAGCCTTCTGAAGCCCACTATTTTTAAAATTTTAACTTTTATTTGAGATACAGGAAGTACATGTGCAGGTTTTTTACACAGGTATACTGCAACCAAGTAATGAGCACAGTACTCGATAAGTCATTTTTCAAGCCAGGCTCCCCTCCCTCTTTCCCCACTCTAGTAGTCCACGGGTGCAACACTGTATCTACTGTTCCCATGTTTATGTCAATGCATGCTCTATCTTTAGCTCTCACTTATAAGTGAGAAAGGGCTGAATTAGATTTTTCTATTTCTGCGTTAATTTTCTTAGGATTATGACTGAGGCCAGCTCTTATCCTTCACACTGCTGAGTAGCTCTGATCTTCGGGATTAGCCAGAAGGACACTTTACACTCTGCAAGTGCTTTGTTTATACTGCTAACAAGGCATTTGGGTTCACTGCCTTAAATTGCCGCTAATTTGTTATGAAGTTGCCTCCCCTAGAAAGTCACAGGTTTTGTAATGATCATATCTGTCAACCTACCTTACAGAATATTTCCGCACTGGACAGCAGCTTATATTTCCATGTATTTTGTGCATCACTTGTGCAGAATTTGTCCCACTGAAATAATATCTACATGTCTTTTTAAATCAAATAAGTAATTCCTTGCTGAGGTTGATCTATTTCAGTACAATTAAACACTGGATGAGTTGTTGAACATAAAGATTACTTCCAGTGTTGACAGTCTAAGGTTCTGTAAAATTATTCGTGAGGGTGTAAGAAATGTGATACTACCACATGTATAAGAACTTATAAGAATGGAGTGTAGCACATATAGTAGAATGTGTGATACATGGTAGAATATATGGTCCACTGATTGACACTACACTATGTGGTATGTCATAAAATGTGACACTACCACAGGTATGACAATGCTATAACCTGTGGTCTCAAAGGTTAAAAAGGTTTTAAAAAGGTTAATATCTTACCCTTCTTCGAATATTTTTTTTCTTTCCCTTTCCAAGTTCTTTTAAGTTTTTTCATAGGAAAAAGTATATTTTCCTTCAGTATCCTCTCTCATTTCAAGCCTGATACCTTAGGAAATTTTTTTATTGTATTTTAGGTTTTGGGGTACATGTGAAGAACATGCAAGATTGTTGCATAGGTACACATGTGGCGGTGTGATTTGCTGCCTTCCTCCAACTCACCTATATCTGGCATTCTCCCCATGCCCTCCCCCCCAACTCCCCACCCCACACTGTCCCTCCCCTATTTCCCTCCAACAGACCCCAGTGTGTAGTACTCCCCTCCCTGTGTCCATGTATTCCCATTGTTCAACACCCGCCTATGAGTGAGAACATGCAATGTTTGGTTTTCTGCTCCTGTGTCAGTTTGCTGAGAATGATGGCTTCCAGGTTCATCTATGTCCCTATAAAGGACATGAACTCATCGTTTTTTATGGCTGCGTAATATTCCATGGTGTATATGTGCCACATTTCCCTGTCCAGTCTATCATCGATGGACATTTGGGTTGGTTCCAGGTCTTTGCTATTGTAAACTGTGCTGCAATTAACAGTCGTGTGCATGTGTCCTTATAGTAGAACGATTTATAATCCTTTGGATATATACCC